ATAATCTGGTGTCGAATAAATCTGTGTCCAATAATTTGGTGTCGAATCGATCGGTGTCGAATCGTACTGTGGTCAAACGGAACACGCCCCTTAGTGACATACCATGTAAGTAATGTTGATTTTTCACCAATAAATTGTATATCCATGTTTCCTTCCCAAGCAGTAAGAAGGACAGGATTATAATCATTTATATCACTTTCATTTTGTCTACGAGGAAGATCGTAAAGCCTACTTCTATGTTTTAATTGCTTTCTACCTGCTATCGAACTTGCGACATCTCTTATTGTCAATGCTTCAGTAACGGGACGAGGAAATCCAAACCGACATATACGTACAAGTTTACGTCCTACCTTTTTAGAACGCAAACAATAATCGTTATGTTTATGCGTCTGATGCGTATTAACACGTTTATATAATAACGGTGAAATATCTTTATTTGGCATTTTGCAGCTTATATGTCGTAAAATAAAGTTGGAAACTTCTTCAGTAGAAGATTCTCCTATAATTGGTGCATTTTTAATCCAAATTAATAAGTGGAAATGTTGTATACCTCTACCTTGATATTCTCGTCGCCAGAAATAATGAGTTACTTCTCCGATTGGATGATCTTTAGAACATATAAAGTCAAGCATTGCTTTAAATTTATTGTCCAGAAATCTTGACGTTGAGACAGGATCTTTTGCAACGAGTACGCTAGTACTTAACGAAGAATTATGCCATCCATTTACTTCACGTATATAATCTCCTAAATCATCCCATAACCATTCGCTCGGACTTAACGTTAAAAACCACGTTGCAGGTCCATAATGTTGCGTCATGCAATTTAAATCACTTCTTGGTCTTTTCCAATATTGATCCGTATTTCTTAGTGTAGAAAATATTGTACTCAAGTCAGATTCTAACAGGTTTTTTGACATTTCTTCTAAATATTCTGCAGTGTAACGCAATCGTAAATTTGTTACATTCATTTTGTGATAAATTCCGCGACTTAACTGACGAATGTTTGCATTGTTTAATAAATAAAATAAATATTGTAGATTCAATCTGAACTGTGGATGTTTAGACATCAAACGACATTTAATAAATTCATGATCATAAAGTTTTACTTTTCTATCTTCATGTTGTCCGTTAATACCAAAAAGAAATAAATCTGGAAAACACATTAAATCTAATAATTTCTCACGATTATCTAAAGGTAAATCATGAACTTTTAACATTTGAAACAAGGCTGTAGCAGTTTTATTTAATTTTTTTTCGTATAAAGGATAAATAGTATACTGCTCGTAATAACTATCATTCTCATTTGTAACTTGTGGTAACAATGCTTGACGATGGTCTGCTATTTTATCGTGTACATTATTTTCTGTTTCTTTTATTTTAGATGTTGATTTATTTAATAATTCGTGTTCATCAAGTGTGGTTTCTACATCAGGTTCTGTTTCTTGCAATTGAAATTCAAGATTTAATTTGTTTAAACACAGTTCTTTATGAGTATTTGGTAAAATAATTGCAGAATACAAAGGATTATTCTTTTTATACCACGATAAGGCGTCAAATACGTTTTTAACATTTACTATTTCTTCCCATATTGTCTTTGAGTTGTTTGTGGGTATACTTCTAACCAAAATAAACAACTCATGATTTATGTTAATTGGATCAGTAGTAGAACATATTTTATTTAAAGTCTCTTGTAAAGGAAGTGGTAAATGAAACGTTCTACCTTTGACTTTTTGTATCATTTGTCGTTGTGGTAATTGTCTGTTCATAACAGCTCCCATTTTAACAACAGTCTGAAATGCTTTNGCTCTTTGTATAAGAATGGTTTCAAATGAATTAAGAGACGATATTACTTCAGGCACGTTGTCTACAAAAAGATTATTTAAAATACAATACGCAGGCATGACACCATTGCGAAATTTTCGAAAACAATAATCACATACATATTGTGCATCAATTTTCCTTTCTTTTACATAAACCATCAAATCTCTCCAAGGTGGAATGTCTATTTGTTTTTGAACAGTATTTATTTCTTTAACATTTCTTTTGTAACAAAGTCTTTCACATGATACACAAACGTATCGTGGTTTATCTATATGGCGTATCGTCAAAGCTTTAAATGCATTATGATATCTATCAATAATATCGTCATCACTCAAAACAGTATTAGGTTGCTGCTGTTTGTATATATCTGCTTTTTGTTGTGCGGAAGTAACAATTTCTTGCAATGTGTCTAAATCAGTAGAAGTTAAAGCTCTGTCTAGATTTACTAGTTTTTCATAAACACTCTTAAGTTGATAAATCAAACGTTTCATATTCCTCACTTTTGGAAAATGAGGTGATAATAATTGAAGTGGAATACACATTGCTTTACAAAGACTTGAAGTAATATAGCAACTATGAGCATGACCAAACTTTTTATCTGAAGTTTTCACAGTACAAGTAAAAATAGTTTCCAGCAATTTTGGTACGTTCTTTAAAGTACATATATTTATTGTTTGAAGAAGTTTCTCATAATGACTAATTAGAAATGGATCGTCAGTTTTGCATAAATTATTACACAACCACGACATTTTTGCTTTTCCTTGTATTAAGGACAACACATTTACAATTTGTCCTTCCGTATTCATCATCAAAGATTCTGATAAATGTTTTTGATGATAAGTAGAATCAAGAAAATAATTTTCAGACGAGGCTGTATGTCTGGATATTCCACATAATGCATGTAATTTTTCATCACTTGTCGTACATTCGGCAACAACGCTTAAACATATTTCTGACTTTTTTCTGATCGAAGACAATATTTTAGAAATATTACGAATGATAGTGTTTCTGACAACAAAACACCAACGTACGATTTTTTCTGCTTCCATTCTTTTAGAAATATTTTTTTTAATTTTGAGTTTTTCTAAAATATTAGTAATAAAGTTTTCTCTAGAACCACGAATATTTATAAAATTATTCGACGTACGAATTCTATCATATTTTATAATAATTTTTTTAGCCATTTCGTAGTTTTTTATAATACCGGATTTTTTAATTTTTCTGTGATAATATCGTGTGTTATACAACGATTTGCGAAAAGGTTCAAGACTATTTAATTTTTTTTGTCTATCTCGTTCATGCTGCAAATTTAAGTAATAACGTTTTTGCTTTTGTGTTTGTTTATATATACGATTCTTTTTGTATCGGTCTTTCATCTTTAAACGAATAGATTCTACATTTTTCTGATATCGTTTACGCTGTTTAGCGCGATTATTTTCTATATCTTGTTTATATCGTTTACGTTGGTTAGCACGATTATTTTCTATATCTTGGTGATATCGCTTTCGCTTTTTAATGTTTCTCTTTTCTCTGTAATTGACATTATTGGTATTGGTTACATTTCTAGAGAATTCTTTTACCTCTACTGGAAAAATAATATTTGATATAGATTTATTGTGTTCAATTGTAGTTTGTTGATATTTATTAATATTTTCGTAAGATTTATCACAATGGAGAGGTTGTATCATTTGATTTAATTTTTGTTTTTCTTTCTTAGTTTTACGTAATATACGCATACGAGTAGCGTTAATTTCTCTTTGTACTATTAGCGGTAATGGCAATATATTGTGGATTGGATAGCGCGGATCTTGAGGGAAATGCATAATTGTATTTGTTTCAAATATTTGAAGTAAATGCGAACGCATCAGGCTATGATCATATTTAACATCCTCAGGCGGAATGTTATGTAATTTGGAGATTGCAAAAGCTATTGCGAAAACACCGCAATCATTTCCGTTCGGTTGCTGTTGCACTGTAGGAAATTTGACAGAAGTTAAATCATATTCTGGAAATAATCTTTCTAGAAATGTTTTATGATCTTTGTGCAATTTTTTTTTATTCAATGAATCATAAATGAATATGTTTGTTGTGTCATAAGAACTACATACCCAATGTCCAGTTAGCATTTGCGGATCCGAACTACTAAACAAGATTTGTATATGGTTTGTATCTATCGGTATAGACTCTATTCTATCAGGAACATACAATTTAAAGGTATCAACAGGTTTGTGGTTTGTATAGTTTCGTAAGAGGCAGTTAAAGTGATCCATATGTACGTCTGTCAACCAATTGCCTTGAACAATTATATCTTTGTCTTTTTGCTGTAAAATCATATGTGGTTTGGACATTTTTAAAATATTAGTATATATATAATAATAATTATAACAACAATAAATAATATTTTTCTAAATAGAGTATTATTACAATACTCTTGTAATAATATAAAAATATGTTATAATATAGTATAATTAATATAATATAACAAATAATATATATTATATATATCACTGTTTTAAAAATGCACAGCACTCAAGCAATCTTTATAAATTTAAAGTAGCAACTTTAGTTTGGCACAGAGTACTAGCTCTCATAGGCAAAGAGTAACTTTGTTTTGGCGCAAAGCAGCCAATCTTTATTGGCGCAGAAGCAGCCTGTTCTTATTGGCACAGAAGCAGCCAGTTGTTATAGGCGCAAAAGCAGCCTCTTGTTATAGGCGCTGAGTAGCCTGTTCTTATTGGCGCTGAAGCAGCCAGTTGTTAAAGGCGCAAAAGCAGCCTGTTTTTATAGGCGCAGAAGCAGCCTGTTCCTATTGGCACAGAAAGAGCCAGTTGTTATAGGCGTAAAAGCAGTTTTTTGTTACAGGCGCTGAGCAGCCTGTTTTTATAGGCCCAAAGCACTTTGGTTTTACAATGCAGCCAGAAGACGCAGCCTTGTATACAACCTTGTATATATATTTTTACAGGCGCAGCCGTTTTTTTTGTATATATACTACTATTTACAGTAGTTACCTGCAATAGAAAAATTAAATTTTAAAGAATATATGTTGATATATGTATATATATTTATTGTTAATATTGTTAACTAACGCGAAAACACCTGAATCTTTTTTTCCTTTCTTTTCTTCTTTCTTCTTCTTTTTCTAATGTCAACAACTCTGAAAGAAATCAAATTATTAAAGTATATATATTACATACCATAAATGCTTCTTGTACTTTTTAATAAGGTAAAAATGTCTATTATGAGATACCTTTTTTTAAAGACTTAATTTATTAAATATGTAATCTTAACTTTTAGTTTTATCAAACTTATAGAAAATATATTCAAGTTTTATCGCCAAAAGTTAGCAATTAATAATACTTAAATCTTATTTTATAAGTGACTTTTTTTGTCAAAAGTGGCGATTTTGCTTGATTAAAAAAAAAGAGTTCCTAATATGAGATACAAGGTATTTCTTTTCTATAAGAATCTTAGCAACAACAGAACTATCGTCATTCTTAAGCTATATCGCTCAATAGTACACTTTAGGACAGTAAATTGTTTAGATTATATGCTTTTGATTATCTCATTTCTTTGCTTCTTACTGCTTTAAGTGATTGTGAGACCACAATTGCCTCTTCTTTGTCTCCATCTGAATATATGATTACTAACAATCTACTAATACATCAAATGAAGAACTGACAGAATAAAGAACTTGACAATAGGCACCTTTACCCTACTGTGTATATTACACGCACACACGCACAGAAACTTAGATTAACATTTATTTATTCATTTATATTTACTACGTATGCAGGTGATCAGATGCACAAAGCACTTAGTACGTATACTGTAAAGTATACAAATACACTGCGTGTACTATCTCTGTAAACACAAAATAAATTTACTTCCTCGCACATCAAAGAATTATTTTATGGATATACATAAAACTATATATATGTATATAAAACATACAAAACCAACAAAGAATGATCGCGAGAAAAAAATGAAATCTGTTATTCACGACTATACATGTTACATGTAACGTGACTATTTCAAGATTGACAATCAATATATCATAGACTAGTTATCAATCAGAGTGATTTCCTAGGCAACCAATCAGATTGATCTTATATTAAGTAGCCAATCACAACGTGCGCTAGTATCGACAAATGAACACGCGAGACAGAGCCTGTGAAACACATCATTAGCTACATTCAGCAGAACTCAGCGCTTAGCAAACGCTTTACGCTTATTGTTTGTGATTGGCCTCTTCCTGTACATTTGTTGGAAATATGAGAGTATATGCCAATGACAAACAACAATTGCAAAGCTCTTGCTAAGTGCTGAAATCTGATGAACGCAGCCATTTATTTTCCAAACGTGTGCTACATGATCGACATTGCGTTTAGTCAATTGCGTTTATAGTTAATGTCGATACCTGTCTGTATAGGTTTGTTTAATTTTCTTGAACTAGCTCTGGACTTGTTTTTAAAGTTTATATTTTTTTTTTATTATAAATAAAAAAGACTGAAAACTAGTTTTTTGCAGAGAAATAATATTAAACTAACCTACCAGTACGCGCGCACTAGTGCAGATACCGACTTCGTTCGTCGACGTCGGGAAATCGAGATACGACGGATTGCATCATTTACAAGTGTATCATTCTCGACCATTTTATTTTATTAGTAAGTATATTCTTAAAAATTCTAAAAAATATTATATAATTTAATATTATATTGTTATTGTAAGGTATTATTATAATATTTTAGAAATGGATGTTGATGATAAACAATTGGAAGAAGAATTTGAAGAACAATTAAATTTGGAGAAAATGAACACAAAAGAAACTGTACTTTTAAAGCAACAAAACAGAAAATTGCAAGACCAAGTAAAATTATTGGAATCAAAACTTGCAAAACAAACAGAAAGTAAATATACAAATCTTTAAATACATTAGCGTTCTTTTACTGATATTTATGCATGTATGCATGCGCGCGAGCTTCTACAAACACACACACACACACATATTATATATATATATATATATACACACATACATATGTACATTTTTTTGCAGGACAACAAGAAATAAAAGAGACGGATAGAAATAGCTCACAAGCAAGTACATCTTATCAAAATAAAAGTAAATAATTCCTATACATTACTTACATCTGTCTCTCTTTCTATGCCTGTTTCTATCTCTGCCTCTATATATAATATACATATATACATATTTGCAGAAACAAAAGGATCAAATGAAGAAATTGATAAGTCCACACAAGCAGATAAAGAGAACGTACGTAAGTATAAATAATCAGTTGCAGTTACTATATATATATATATATACAATGGAACCTCGTTTATCCGGACCTCTCTTATCTCAATTGAGGCCCAAACCTCTATTATACGAACTTCCTACTAGTCATTACCAGTGGACCTCTGTTTATCAAACGTTGAAACCTCTATTATCCGAACTATAACAAAAGATAGTGGGGATATTGGTAGATCTCTC